CCCCCACCCCGAAACCCAAACTCCCGTCGATCAAATCGCGTGTTTTCGCCCTGGCAAAACCCGTGATCACCGCGTTCCCCGCGAAATCCTCCCCCAGAGGCGGCGGGCCCACCTTCTCCCGCACGTCCACCGCGAAAAGAACGGTCGTCTCCCCATTGTCATCATCATCCGCCATCATCATTGCCCTCGTCCTGGCTCTCCAGATGTGGGCGAGCAGCACGTCAAAAGTCGAGCCCCCGCCGGGCCCCGCCTTGGATTTGAGGCTCGCGAGAGTTTGTGGGAGGAAGGGGAAGACCTTGTGGGTGTACTTGTCGGAGAAGACGACTGGAGAGCTACGGTGTCTGGAGGTAAAGGAAGTCGTTTTTGTTGGGGCTGATGAGTACTCGTGGTGGGGGAAGCGGATTTGGGGTGGGGACCGTGCCTTGAACGGCGTGCGGTCAGGGTTCACTTGGGGTGTGAGGAGGCCGTGCCCACGGGCAGCGGACCCCAGGTTGAGGAACATTTGTGCCGCCGACTTGCCGTCGAGTATGGCGTGGTTCGTGGAGAATCCCAGCACGAACCCGCCGCACCGGAACATGGTCACCTGTCGATCAAGTAATCAATCTCCGGTTTGGCAAGTTAAATGAACTTAAATTTTTGGTTGTGGAAGAATATTGATACTTCATTTACAATTTTTGTTATGCAAAAAGTTAATGTTTAAAAGCCATTGAAATCACAAGTTGGTATAGTTGGAGTTATATGCATGCATATCATGGATTAATCACAAGTTGGTATATATAGTGCATATCATGAAATCCGTTTGCCTGAATAGTGAAAACTGCAGTTTCCGCGAGGCTTGTATACAGCCCCGGCCGGTGAACGAGCCGGTGAAAAGTCGGGTTCGGCTGGGAAAGATTACCGAGATCCTCGAGCGAAAGTCTCGTTTTTGCGCTCACAAACACGGCCCCGGCATTGTTGCACACGAGCTCGACCCTCTTGGTCTCGTCGTTGAAGCTGAGCCGGCCAGCCATGAAATAGTAAGGCACCAAAAGCACTTCCTCCACTGCCCTCTTCAGCCTTCGGGCAACATCCGCCGTTGATCCGTGGACCCCGTTCGGCAGAGCCTCATAGAAAAATACCGTCTCGACCGGGAAAGTCACAGCCAGGTCGATGTTGGACAAGAATATCGACTGGGTCGGGGTCGGGTTTTGTGGGGAGTAGAGTGTGATTGGTTTTTCCTTGATCACATCTTGGGCTGTTAAGGAGATTGTTGTTTTCACCATGGTTCAAATGAGAGGAAAGACAACTTCCTTCTTTTCTTTGCCCAGCAGCAGTGATGGGTTTTTGCAGGTTTTAGCTAATTAGAAAGGGAAGGGAAGTGTGTTTTTATAGGACTATTTAAGTGTATGGCTTTACAGGTTTATTTCCATGCGGTTGGTACATCTTGTAAGAATAAGGTTGTGTTGATAAGTGGGGTGAGAAAAGTATGAGTGAGATTTTTGTGCTTAAGAGATGATTTACAAGTGTGCATCCATAGTTGATGAATCTACAATTTAGGCATGAAATTTTCATTTCTTTGGTTTAATATTGCTTCTGATGGTTTGGGATGTGTATGAGTGTCTGCCAAATATGAAACATTCCAAAACTCAGGAGTTCTCTATCACTCATTATTATTATTAAGGTCATCTCCCTCCTCTTATCTCTACCTCGTATCTCTACTCTAGTGCAGAGTTTACTCCAATTAGAGCTAGAGTGAAACAAAAATCAAGTTTCGTCTTCAATTGTTCGCGGTAAATTTTACTGCACAAAATATTTTTTTTTATTCACATTATTTTAATATTAAAAATGTAATTTAATTAGATATTGTGTTTCACATATATTTAATATTTAAATTATTATCCTTGTGGATGCAGAAAACTCTTGTTGGGAGACTCACCCACCACTGCCAGGTGTGCGACCCGGATCGACCAACGGATTAGTCGGGACATAGCTCCGGATACCGTGGCTGGCTACCAAAAAAAAAAATATTTAAATTATTATCATTATATAATTGATAAAATATAAACAGTACAACAATAATTATATAAAGATTATATTAGTCACTAAAACATGCATCAAGTATAAAAATTATATTATTTACTAGAACATGCATAAATATATATTTCCTAATCCTGTCCGTTCAACAATTCACCGCATCTTTTTCTCTATTATAAACAAAATTATGAAATGAAGATGTGAAAATGGGTAAACTTTTATTGATTTTTTTATTTTAATATTAAAAAAATACAAATAAAATTATAGTAGATCAATAAATAAAAAAGCATAAAGTTATATGACATATTAAATACATTTCCTAAACACTATCCAAAATTTTACCAACAAAATATATGTTTCATATATGTATATATATCATAAAAAATCATACAAAATATATAATAAAAAATAATAAAAAGGTAAAATCTATACAATAAATAAAAGAAATTAAAAAAAAAGAAAAAAAATATAGCGCAACATCAACCGTTTTGCATAGAGATGTACGTACTGAGCCCATGTCTAATGTGGCGCAAAATTATAGTGATGCATTGTGAGAAAAATTGACGCAGTCCAACGTAATACACTAATATAACAAGGAGATGATCTAAGGGGTGCACTCAACTGGGATTTTTAACGATTTTAGAAATATGGCGTCTTAAATTTAGATTTGTTAAAATGTTTTAAGACTTTTAAAAGTCTTGAGGTATTCAATTACGATTTCAAAAAATCATACAAAATTTTAAGGTATTTAACTTATTTAACTCTAGGATTTGTTAAGAATTTTAAGATTAGGTTTCTAAACAAAAAACCTTATACGAAATCTCACTT